TGTAAACGCGATTACGGAGACTAAAGAATTTATATATAGACCAGCATACCATGTTAGATTGTATTTATTCTTAGAAGACATAGGTATTTATATTTTGTCAGTGCATTTCGTCTGAGACTGATAATACAAAACAATTACTAGGATATTCGTGAATATTTTTCGGGAATAATTAGCATATACCATTTCATGGTTGAATTCGACCTTTCCACTCAGCCAGCAGAATTTTGACGCTGTTTGTAAACGCAATTACAGAGACTAAAGAAAATATAGACAAGCATACCATGTAAGATTGTATTTATTCTTAGAAGACATTGGTATTTATATTTTGTCAGTGCATTTCGTCTGCAAGTGTAAACGAGAGGGATTCTCAATCTGGGGGAGGGGTACTCTGTGTTATTCGGAGACAATTATCTTGCGTCATTTTTTAATGATATGGGAAATTTATTGCCATAACAATTTCCTCTGAGTAATATTCAATGAATTCTGAAACATTTACATTCAACTTATTTATGGTTAATACTAACTCTGTAAATAATAGGATGATATATACATTGCACTAATAAATTTGGAAAATTATTATTTATATAATATAATAAATATGGACTCAATGCACGGTCAATATGCATTTATAATGACCCAGGATGACAGACATTGACCGAAGATCCATGAAGTATATCGACCGAGGGCGATATTATATAAATGGTGCCTGATTTGGAGGGTAACATTTGAAATTGACACCCCAAGAAAAACCATTGTCAACCGACGCGTCATTTATTTTATTATACTGAATGTCTTGTTGATATAGGACGTCAGCGAAAAAAAAAGTCGATCGTCTTTACGATCATGTATAGAAAGCTTAATTTCACACTCACCGGTTCACTAATCTCCTTATTGTTTGTTTGATACTCGAATTAGAGTCATTTATCATATGAAGTTTCGTAACTTCTGGCTCGCAAGCATGTTTCCTACACTTGCAAGCATGTATCGTCTGTCGTTTGTTGTTTTCAAGTAAGCTATATCGGACGCAAGCTTTTATAGACGTCAAGTTAATTCCGGTTCTTTCAAACGCGCAACTGACGTTTTGAGAATTCTACGGTGAACCGTACGCGCATAATTTCCACGCATGTGTTACCCGTTGTCACGTGTGTTGCTAAGGCTCAGGGTAATCGAACGGATTGTTAACTGCGTCTAAACCAATCAGATTGTAGTATTTTACATGAAAGTATAATAATTGTATAATATCAATTTAATAACTCCCTCTCTTTCTCTCTCTTTCTCTCTCTCCCCTCTCTTTCTCTCTTACATGGGTTTTTGGACACATTATTTGTACATAAATGTATTCAATGTGATCTGGAATTACGTCTGATGATTTTAATTTTTACGAACATATTCAATTCGTAAAAGATCAACGTGTAAAAATTTAAATCACCTTTTTTTGACAAAAATTCGTAAATAAATACAGCAGTAAAAATTACCCGTTATAGGGTATATCTCATATTTGTTTACAATCGTATTCGTTCGAGCATTTATTAATTTCAAGTTTTATGCCTGATGAAACCAGGTGCTTTGGATCTTTTTCATGCTAGCACCTACCCCGACACAATTATCCGGTCTCATCCACAGGATGGGTCTCCACGCATCATTTCACAAGTGTCCAAATTTCAAATAAAACATTCTCATTGAAACTTTGATGCTTCTCCATAAAAATGGCCAGGAATATATTGTTTGTCATGTACGTCTTCCATTTTCCGTCTGTCCCTTCGTCCCGTTTTGTGTTTACCTCAGTTCAAAGCTCAATTTCGAAGAAACTATTCAATTTTGATGAGAGCTATTTTCCTGCATCAACATGTTTTGACTTTGACCTTTCCTTTAATTTGAACTTAATCTCATCTGTTTTATATCTGTCTAAAGAGACCATTCAAAATAGTATCATCAAACTTCATGTGCTGATATGTACTGATATGTGCTGATACATACTATAGGCTAGCTACACGTTTGTTACTGCATCAACATTTTGCTTTACCTTTCCTTTGACCTTAACCTAACTTTTTGCAGGTTATTGTTAACTCAGAAACATATCATTCAAGACTGAGTATTCTTTTATACTCTCTTATTGTGATACATATATTTTTTCTACTATTTTTTCTACTTTCACCTTGATCTTACATGACTTGTACTTTACCTAATTCAGTGAGTATTTAGCTCAATTTTGAAGAAAGCATTTATATTTTTACTCAACTTCATATGTTGATACACACTTATGAGAGCTGTCCAAACCTTAGTGTAGAACAGATGCTCTAACCACCGTGCCACACAGGCGACCTTCAGTTTTGAAGAATCCATTCAAGACATTTTTATCAAACATTAGTATCCCGATACATTTTGATCTTGCACTTTCAGGTGAACTTGACCTCACTTGTCTTTAATTTGCAATTTGCTTAGTATTAAAGAAATCCTTTTGAGATATTTTTTATGTAAGCTTATGCTAGCTGCAGAACTGTAGCTCTCCGAATTTGTTTTGGTAGACATGAGAGCTACAGTGCCACCCGTTTAAAAAACTGTATATTTATTGCGCACAAAAAGTGCGCTGTTTCTCAGTTTATTTCTCCATTGTTTTGAAACTTTAACATCAAAATATTACTAACCGTATGGTCCTAACATATCCTTTCACTGTTTCCACAACAAAACATTTACCTTACAATCGTTAATTATAGCCCTCCTTGCCCTGAAATTGAAATGATCGAAAATTTTGTCTATTTATACTGCCATTTTTGTTTGCAAGATAATTCGGTCCTACGTGCTTCGAACAGTTGTAAACTAAGAGAGTACTTGATAGAGTAGTAAGGGTTTTTTTGAAATAAAGTTTCTTTGCCATTGAGGTAAGAATTCGGAAGAATTAGTCCAGAATCAAGCGCAAATTGTTGTGCGCAATAAATATACAGTTTTATCAATAGGTGGCACTGTAGCTCTCCGGTGCATCAACATATTTTTTCTCGGAAGGTTACAGTTCTACAGCTAAGCTTATGCATATATGCATTATCTTAAGATTTCAATTTTTACGAAACTATTCAAGATTTTCTCAACAAACGTCATACACTTATTCAGATTTAATGTTGCATTATTTACTAATATACACTCGGCGAGGCATTCATGTCCTATAGATATATTTCAAGTAAAATGATCATGTAAATCATAATTTTGAACCTAATAAATTATTTCCATTCGATATATATTAAAAAAAATTGACTGAACATGTCCAGTCTTTTAGACCAGTCACATTACTGACAGAGAAACTTTAAATTCTCAACCGTATTTGTACCAGTGAAACATGCAATGCAGGGTGGGGCATGGCCTTGACTCAAGTTCAAGGCCGCTTAAGATAAATTGTTTTGGTTGGATATATGGACTAAAAGAGTATCTAAAAAACATACATGAACTTTTCCACTCGGTAACACGCAGATTATGTATTTTTATAAGAGTTTGTCATTGCTTGTCGCAAGGTCATTAAGAAAGTTCAAGGTCATGCAAATAACATTTACAGTCTTATTTCTGGCGAAACATTTTAAGTTGCTTCCTTAATAAGCTTTTAGGTTGCTTACTTATATACCTTTAAAATGGTTTGACCTAGACTAAAAGTAACGCCTTCCTTTCCATAGCTCAAACGAAAGACCTATTCGTTGCTTTGCAACGAGCTCGACTCTAGTTTTCTGAGTATTATTGGGGTGTAAGACGGGTTGGCACATGATCAAATCTTCCATTCAGGCTTTATGGGATTTGATCACTTTACCAACCCATTTTACATCCAAATAACACTCCAAAAATGAAACCTTATTTCTTAAAAATTATTTCTCTTTGAGGCCGCCATACAATCTGTTATTTTGTACGGCATAGGAATACTTTACGCCGCAAAGAAACGTATACAAAATGAATATAGATAAGATTCAACTTTATTTGACAAAACAATCAATAATTAAACTATAAAACCTTATCGAATGTTGTTTAAATCAACAAATATCGTATATACGCGAATTCTTCAAAATAATTCGTCCTTGACCATGGCCATGTTGACATCATGACGAAAGTTGAAGACCGACGACGTCCTCGAATTGCACTGGTTCGTTCAAAGATTTAGGGAGAATATGGGATCTGTAGGATGTAAATATATGAATTTGATGCTGAAAAGGCAAGAGTCTGAGGTAAGTTTCTTTTCCCTATCACAACAATTCCAACTGAGCTCATACGGAACGTCGAGAAAATGACAGCATAATCAGCGATTTCAAAGATTCACACTCGTAATCCGACAGTGACATAAACATAATATTCCCGTCTGTCTTTCCTATTTATCTTTTCATCCATAAATTCATTCATTCATTTTTTATTATAAGTTTCTTGTAATCATAATTTAGCTAAAACGGCCTAGAGGTATCTGTTTTCATTGTTTTTACAACGGTCAAGAAAGTTGTTCTGGTTGAAAAATTCATCGATGTGTAAACTTTTTCTTAAACTTGCTCTCGTCCAATCATAACACAAGGAATCAAAAAAAAAATAAAATTAAGATTGGAATTATAGTGATTTATATTCACTGACACTGATACTGTGCTGTCGAAAAACATTTTACAATGTATTTTAAGCTCCAGCTCTAATGTGCTGTTACATGTACAATGTATGATGCTGAACATTTAAAATTTAGGTACTTATGTTTCTTTTGCTTGTCTGATATGTATACATTTAAACAATAGCTTAAAATTATATTTGAGACGCTCGTTTTAGACGGAGTTAGAATTTATGAATCGCGTTTACATTTGACTGATCAGCATGTAGATATGTACAAAACATATAGTTTTTACCTAGTACTAAGTTATTGTTGTATTTCATTTCATGTTGTATAAGAAACTAATTACAAAGATCTTCAAGATATTTCTCTTTTTGTATGAATGTGTTCATCATAGATCTAATTCAATTGTCCTGTTGCACACCTTGTCAATATAGAATGTGTAATGTCAAATATCTATCTGATTTGTCATATATTGGATAGTGTCCTGCCTATCTATGTGTCTGTATACACACAAGCTCTTTTCCCCGTAGGTAGATCCAACCCAAAGAAGATGGGTTTTGTCGTCATAACTCAGGGCCTGTGGTATATTTACCCTTTGTGTTTTCATTATCAGTGACAGGAACTGACCGTCCTTGTCAATGATCTGTACTGTGTAGGTGCGTTCATCACAAACCAGAATGTTTGACAGCGCGTCAGTACAGATTCCACGTGGATATAGTCGTGATTGTGATGGAGAACCTGTGTAGGAGAACCGGTGTCTACCTCTACTATCTGTCACCACTACAGCACCATAACAAATACCAGTACGAATACTACCCTTGTCAGACACAATAACATCTCCATTGCGGTTCTCTGTGATGTACATAGGATAATAATACAGATTCTGACCTGTGTTGCCATGCCATATTGTTTGTTTATGATGTCCTATGTCATTAAAGCGTTTTATAATGCCTTTTCCTTGGTAGGTTCGCATCCCGGCCAGCAAATCGCCGTTGAGTTTGGAGGAGTATATACATTTTGGTGCACTTGGTACTGTTATCTTCATCAGTGTAGAATTTGTTCTGTTATCTTTAGAGAGTTTGAGAATGTTACCATCCCAGTCTATGTAAATAAGATCACCAGTAAGGTTCACCGTGTGTTGTGTCCTATTGCGTGTTATATGATGTAGTATGTCGCCCTCAGAGTTTATCAAGATAATATTTTGACCATTACTGATCCAGACCTGGTCTGGTGTCACACAGCAAATATGAAATATTTTACCCGGATCACCGCGCACATTGACAGACCTATGTAACACAGGTGTAGACATCAGTTTCAGCTGACTTTCATTTCTCACTTGTCTTTCTCCTCTCTCTATTATTTGGATTTCACCCAGTAAATCAGTCACATCCTCTATGTTGATTTCTTCAGTAAGGCAGACCAGGGCATATTGTGTGGGATTGGGAGTGTCCTTTAACTTGTGTACACGATTTGTCTTTAGTAACATGATGAATTCTAGCGGTCTGTTTGCTAACTGTTCAGATCTATGTTCCAAGTCTTCTATGTTTGAAAGGTGTTTCCTCTGTTTTTGTAAACTTTGAATAAATCTTTTGCGTCTGATTTTAACATCATACATTTCAGTGTCTATGAGGTTCCTAAGTTTCTGGGCTTTTAATAACGTCTCTGACTGATTGTTGGAGATTACTGGGTGATAAGTTTTTATATCAGATTTGATTCCTGCCAGAATACAACTGTTGTTATAGAGAGTCTCACTTCTGATGTTGTGAACGATTTCTCTGTGTTTTTGACGGTTTGTTTTGTATGCTGTTTTAATGTCTTGTATTTGGTGATCTCTATGTTCTGTACATTGGAAACAGACAGGAAGTTTACAGGAATGACAGTACGTTTGATAAAACATGTCTGGATGTCTCTCACAAGTCTCTTGTTTTGTAATGTTTTCATATTTTTCACGGTAAATTACGACATCGTGGTCTTTAGTGTGTAGACTAATAACATGTCTCTCTTTACACGGCAGACACAGGTCATGTTTACACGTGTTACAGTAGAATTCTGTGTCCTCCGGACACTGGAAACACTGCCGGACTTTACACGAATTTCTGAAATACTGACGTACTCTACGCAGGTTGTTGTATCCTAGCCTGTCCATGATCATGATTTACAGGATTTATTTGTTATGTTCACAATCCTCTGAAACTAAATCAAATTACAGCCTATTAAACACATATGTCTTATTATAGTGTTCTAGATTAGAAAGCATATTAAATTCTAAAAAGAAAAAGATTAACTTAACAACAAAACTTCATTTGCACAAAATTTTGAAATAAATCATGGTAATTTAGGCTTTGTATTTAAAATATTCATGTGTGTCACCTTCAATTTGCAAAATTATACATGTAATGTATTGATTTTGTATGAGAGCAACATAAGTTTTGACGGACCCAATGGCTTAAGTGTTTGCCCATAAGGCCAAAGGCAACAGTTTGGTTCAAATGTTCAGCATTCTGTCTGAGAACACATTCAATAATTCCATGTCTTGTTATTATTATACCATTTACTTTTTATTATGACACATCTACCAAGGATTTCAATATTGGCATTGAATATGACAAAATTTTGATGATTCTAAAACTGTTGACTAACACTGATTGATTGCTTAATTGCTGTTTTACGTCCCATGCAAGGACAGTTGACTCATATAGAAATCGACGATTGCATGAGGGGTTTCAAATTTAGACCTAAAGACGGCACTCATGGCCATTGAGCAATGAGGTTCTATATCGTGCCAACGTCTATCGTGACTCGGGACTTTTCATCTAAAAGACTGTGTCTTTCACTTACAGTGCCATGCGCTAAGCGAAGGAACAGTCACAGTACCGTCTAGGTAAAGTCTATAACATAACCCAGTCACGATTTCCGGGAATATTATCTCCGGTACGGTTTTTTTTTGCAACAGAACACATGTTCGATCCCGATGCATATACTTCTGTAAACATATGACGATATATACGGCAAGTTGGCAGCTTAAATTCGAACGATAATCGGAGACTTAATATTATGACACCCAGGTGGATGTACGATTTCATAAAATTTGTTGTATTTAATAGTAAACATAATTATTAATAGACTGCTTTTTCATTACCTATCAGTAACAATACTACATACAAGTAAAAGTAGGACTTGAAGTATACTTAGCATGTGTGAACGCACTGCAAAATACTATTACCATAATAAGTTATGTTAATATTCTGAGACAAAATGATTATTTTTTATTGTGAACGTGGGCAAATGGGAATTATAGGTCCTAGAAATAAATAACGTTCAAGTTGCAATATAGGTGTTCAACATAACACAGTCTCTGTTATGATTATCTAATAAATTGTTCACCATAACTCAGTCAATAGAAAAGACATAAGAAACAAAAACCGATACACAAAAAACCTATTTAGCCAGTCATGGTTCTACAGAAGCCAGTCACTGAACAGTGTAAAATACCACTGTACAATATATCCCAGTCACTGTTCAACATTACCCAATGGTTCCACATAACCACAACTGTTAATAACCTATCCCAGTCACGTTTTATCATAATCAAGTCTCTAAACAACCTAACCCAGTCATGGTTCCACTTAAGGTATTCAATGTATAACGACCATATTTTGTACCTAATAAATGAACGGTCCAATATTCTTAATCATGGTAGCAATTTGAAGATATTATCAAATGAAAATGCTCCACCAAAGGAATTTACAAAATTTTGATTATTGTCCAGTTAATATCACTTTGAATTTTACATTGAAGTCTATGGGCAGTGCATGTTTTTATAAGATATTGTAAAAAGTAATTTGAATTTCAAAGAAATCTCTTTGAGAAAATATGCATAAACTCCATCTTTATTAAAATATAAAATAAAATAAATTATTTACCGCAGAAATTTTGTGAAATCAAAAATTTTCTTCTTTTCATCAAGGGCAGATAACTCTTCAAAAACTGTACATGTGCAAAATGACCGTCTCCTTACATGTTATAAGTCTTGTAAATTTGGTTTATTTCACTTTTATTGTTTTCTAGCTGTGTGCTTTTAACTAGTTTAAGATTATTTAAAATCAGTCAAAATCCCTTCGTTATACATTGAATACCTTAACCAAGTCCATAAACAATCCAACGAAGTCACGGATCAACATAACCAAGTCTCTAAACAACTTTACCAAACCATGGTTCCACTTAACCAAGCTATGAACAACCTAACCAAGTCAAGGTTCAACAGAACCAATCTCTAAACAAGCTTACGCAGTCATGGTTTATTATAACCCAGGTATAGTTCAACCTAACCAAATTATGGTTTAAAATAGCCAAGTCTCTAAACAACCTAACCAAGTCACTGTTTAACATACCCAAGTATCAAAACAATCTATCCTAGTCACAGTTTAACATAGCAAAATCTCTGAACAACCTAATCCAGTCACGGTTAACATAACGAAATCTCAAAACAACCGAACCTAGTCACGGTTAAACATAACCAAATCTCTTAACTACCTACTCACACACGGTTTAACATAACCAAGTATATAAAACAACCTAACCAAGTCATGGTTTAACATAACCAACTCTCTAAACAACCAACCCCAGTCACGGTTCAACATACCATCGTCTCTCAACTACCTTACATAGTCACAGCTATACATAACCAAGTCTCAAAATTACCTAAACCAGTCACTGTTTAACATAACTGCGTATCAAATTAACCTTATCCAGTCACAATTCAACAGAAATAAGTCGAAAAACAACCTTATCCACTCACGATAATACATAACCAAGTCTGAAAGCTACCAAAAACAGTCAAATATAAACATGACCAAGTCTTCTAACAACCCAATCCAGTCACGGAGTAACATAACTAAGTGTCTAAACAACGTAACCAAGTCACAGTTCCACACAACAAGATCTCTTATCTACCTAACTAAGTCGCGGTTTAACATAGCCTACCCTTTTAACTACCTTACCAAATCACGGTTTAACATAACCAAGTCTCTAAACAACCTTACCCAGTCATGCATTAATATAAACTACCTACCTGGTCATGGCTTAACATAACTAAGTATTTAAACTACCTAACCTAGTCACGTTTCCACACAGCCAAATCTCTTTACTAACTAACCAAGTCACGGTTTAACATAACCAAGTCTATAAAACAACCTAACCCAGTCATGGTTCAACATAACCAAGTCTCAAAACTACCTAGACCAGTCACTGTTTAACTAAACCCAGTTTTGAAACAACCTACCCAGTCACAGTTTAACAGAACCAAGTCTCTAAACAACCTAACCCAGTCATGGTTCCACATAACCAAATCTCTTTACTACCTAACCAAGTCAGGCTTTAACATAACCAATTCTAAAAACAACCGTACGAAATAACCTAACCCAGTCACAGTATAATATAACCTAGTCTCTAAACAACCTAACCCAGGCAAAGTTTAACAGAACCAAATATCTAAACAACCTAACACAGTTATTTTTCAATATAACCAAATTTCTTTACTACGTAAACCAATCACTGTTTAACACAACCAAGTCTCTTAACAACCTTACCCAGTCACAGTTAACATAACCAGGTATCTAACCTACCTAACCCAGATACTGGGTTAGGTAGTTAAGAGACTTGGTTATGTTGAACAAGTGACTTGGTAAGGTTGTTCAGAGACTTGGTTATAAGAAACCGAGACTACGTTAGGTTGTTTATAAAGCTGACTTTTGACAGAACCTTAATTAAATTGATATTGATATTTTTGTTTAATCCCTGCATTCAAAAATATATTTTTTTAAACCAGCCCACTCTCTATCTTACCCTCACACAAATCTTCAAACACACACACACACACACACACACACACACACACACACACACACACACACACACACACACACAGACTTCAGCAGTAACAAATATTTCCGAAATATTGATAACCTAAATTCTTGGACAAGAACAGGTACAGTCCTTGGAACGTTCTACTTTCCCATTTTTCCGTTCGTTCACCGTTCGTTCAGCGTTAGCTCTCCGTTCACAGTTTTGCGGTCACCGTTCACCGTACGCCCGCGTTCACCGGTCACAAAACGTTAACCGTTCGCTCTTCGTTCCGTTAACTTTGCGTTCATCTTGCGTTCACCGTACACCTATGGTTCAGTCTTCATTGTCATTCGGAACTCCGAAGAGAAAGGACTTATCTTTTTGATGGTAAAGATTTACACGTTTTTTAATTAGATAGCTAAAATATCGTGGTTGAAGAATAATTATTCTATTGCAAAAATTATCTACGGTATTTATATTTCTATAATTCAAACTTAGCTGTTACTTTATCCGTGAAATTTCCGTGAAAATAATACATTAAGTACCTACATGTATGTAAAACGATGCCAAAATATTATATTTAATAAAGGGCAATGTAAAAATGCTTCACACACGGCATCATTTTGTTGTTATGAAAAAGACGGCAAATCATTAATGGATGGATAATAATCTAAGTTAGACAAGAATGCACAACAAAATTATTTCTAACACGTATTTAAAAAAAATTCACGAAAACGTATATGAGAACTATACGTAGATATTCAGTTAATTAAATATCTCTAGACCTAATGTAATTAATAAGCGTGATTTTAAATTTTAGAAAAGACAAACTGTTAAAAATGTAATACATTAGATCTGTTAGTACACTAAGTTAAGTCTAATATTAGAGAGGGAAAATTCCTTAATTCACCGTACCTAAATACACTGAACCAAACTTCTAAGTGTTCACCTAACATTTTTGAGGTTTTAAAACACAAATGCGAAGAATAAATAATTTCTCTAATTTTTGGTTAAAGAGTCATAATTTAGTTTGATGTTGCGTAAATTTCATGTAAGTATCTCGTCAGAATTTTAAGCAAAGTGTGAAGAAAATGGTGTACCCTCAAAAATGAAAATTCACACAAAAAAATCTCGATTGTGTAAGACCCACTACTCGCTCTAATTACTACAAGAAACTCTTTATTGTTGGATACCATGTACCCCTGAATAGGAGACTGACCCATCTGCTGCCACACCTACATGTACTGCATAGATCCTTCCAAACCATTAAAATTGTGAGAAAAAGGGGGGGTGGGGCTTTGACATTTC